ATCGATCACATTATAGTTGTGTACACTTAGACTCGTGGAGGCCTTCGGAAGAAAAATGAGATTCAGAATTCCGATTCGTGTACCTTCGATTGGTCAATCGTCGATTTTCTTGGAATTGAAGCATAGAAAATTGCGTGAAACTTAATTTTCTATATTCAAAGTTAATAACTAGAAAGAAAAATCGTGCAGTTAATTTTTAAGTGTCATTGAAAATAAATAATAAATTTCGATCTTCGAACTCTACTTTGAATTCAATCGCGGAAAAAATTTTTCAGTCTCCTTCCAGCAGCCGATAGAAAAGTATCTATGTTTCTCTCGTTCACTAGTAACATTTCGATTGCTTTTAAAACGATTTAAATCCACAATTTTTTCAAACATTCAATTATACGATTTCTCAATTCACTCAATCATTGTAAAAAAACAAAAGGAATTCAATCTCGTCAATGAATCGTCTCACGATTATTCGTGCGTAAAAAAGATAATATTTTCAATTGTAATTATCATCGATGGAGGAAGGCTCGATAAGGGATCGTCTGCCAAATGTTATCTGCTTTTATCGATGATGATCCATGACTTACATCGATTACGTGTTTCCAACGTCACAATCCGAAATTATATTGACGATTACGCGCGTTCATTGATTCACAGAACGAGCACGATTATTACGTGGAAGGAAACAATCGATTCTTATGGCATCAATTGAAAGAGAGATGTTCGATCGATGACAGGTATGATAACAGAATAATAGAAACTTGATCGAAATTAAATTCCTCTCGATTCGAGGAAATTTGAGCTTGAACGAATGAGATTATTTGTCATTTATCGTGTTATTTTGTAAGATTGTTTGGTCAATCTTCTTGTGAAAACACGGCTTAATGGACAATCTTCATAATTGTCAAGGAATATTTCTTATATCGCATATGTAATTTTTGTTTACACTGATTTGTATTGATTCTAGGTTTCGTTTAACACGTAGAACGAATGCAATGCGTTATAGGAGGAAATACATCGAATGATGTATCGATCTTTTTTTTTTTTAACAACGATATTAAAATTCAGATATGAAAATCAAATGGAAGGAAAACTTGTGAAATCTCGAAGTTTATTTCAATATTCGAACACAATATTACAAACATTAATTTTATTAATCTCTTGAAATGAAATTTTCGTTCTACATCGAGTAACGATTGTTTGAATAATTTTCCTTCAATTTATTTAGCATTTAGAGTAGAAAGTAATTAGGGTAATAAATATTTAATATCAATCACAGTCCACAATTTTGAAGCGACTTCGGGTGTTCGTTCGATTTCACAATCGTTTCGAAACAGGGAAATCCCTGGATTTCAAAAGTAGATCTCGATCTAGGAGTAATAATAGATCGGAATATTCTTTCGAGAGAAAACGAGATGACGCAAATTACGAGATTATGCAAAAACAAGAAGCATTCTAATAAAAGAATGGTTTCGTGTCCATCGATGATAATTTGAAAATCGTTGAAACCTTTCTCTGTTTCACGATCTTGTTCCACAATGTCGCAATATCTCTCACCTCGTGTCACAAAAAATGCCAAGGAAATATCTCTATTATTCGATTATAACCTTACAGCCTATAATTAAGCCTATAATTATAATATAAACGGATAAAAATTCCATGATTTATTCATCCTGTTTCTTTCTTATCGAATAATTTACTCGTGTAACACGGATTTATTAATCGATCTATCGATAGCATTGACTCGTTAAATACCTTCGCCTCGATAAAGTAGAAAATTAATAATCCATTTTCATGATCTATAACCAGATTTCAATAATTATTGAATATGATATTTCATTGTAGAGTCTGTCCAGGTAGAAGTCCTCCGAGTTACGTCGAATTTTTTGTCATTGAGGTGAAACTGGTTCCACGGGAATCGCGCAATAAATCTTCATTTTCTTCATCGCAATTATTATTTTACCTTCCTTATTCCGCTTTTAATAGATCTACGTAGTTTATTCATCTACGTAGTTAAAATTAATCTCTTCGATGTTTGTAATATTGTGTTCGAATATCGAAATAAAGTTCGCTTCGAGATTTCACAAGTTTTCCTTCCATTTGATTTTCATATCTGAATTTAAATATTCGGATATAAATTCGAATACTTGAATTTTCAATTTCATGAACAGATCTTTGAGTATTCAGATTCAAAATATTCAACTTCAAATTCGAATATTCGAGATTCAAATCCAATTATTTCAAATTCAAAAAGTTCGAATATTCGAATACTCGAATTCACATTCAAATTCAAATATTCGAGATTCAATCCAATTATTTCAAATTCAAAAAGTTCGAATATTCCAGTACTCAGATTCAGATTCAAATATTCGACTACTCAGATTTAAGTTCAAATATTCAAGATTCCAATTATTTCAGATTCAAAAAGTTCGAATATTTGAGTATCCAGATTCAGATTCAGATATTCGACTACTTAGATTTAAATTCAAATATTCGAGATTTAGTCCAATTATTTCAGATTCAAAAAGTTCGAATATTAAAATACTCAGATTTAGATTCATATATTCGAGTACTCAGATTCAGATTCAAATATTCGACTACTCAGATTTAAGTTCAAATATTCAAGATTCCAATTATTTCAGATTCAAAAGTTCGAATATTCGAGTACTCAGATTCAGATTCAAATATTCGACTACTCAGATTTAAGTTCAAATATTCAAGATTCCAATTATTTCAGATTCAAAAGTTCGAATATTCGAGTACTCAGATTCAGATTCAGATATTCGACTACTCAGATTTAAGTTCAAATATTCGAGATTTAAGTCCAATTATTTCAAATTCAAAAAAGTTCGAATATTCAAATATTCAGATTCAGATTCAAATATTTGAGTACTCAGATTCAGATTCAAATTACCCAAATTCAAATTCGAATATTCGAGTATTTAGATTGATATTTAGATATTGAAGATTCAGATATCAGATATCCAGATATTCATTACAATGAGTATATTTGATATTAAAGTAATAATTCTTATCGTTATTAATTCTTTAATTCAGATTCGCCACGATCGAAATTTAATAACTCTCGTCCATTATATTATGTGAGAAGGCGTGTTTACACGGTATAAGAGGCGTCGCGGCTTTAAGACGGACCAATCGATGATTTCTCGAGAGTCATTAACTCATATAACGAATGATACTGGGAGCGGCAGCGTTTACCAGCATCTAATACTCGCCATTCTATAGGTGCATAAGCTTATCAACACCGGCAATCGAGAGAGAAATCGTAGATACTACCTTCGTGATCTCGAAACTACCCACCAATTCTATGAACCGCTTTTGTTTAAATATCAATAATTATGCATTAAATGTAATAATATATAATTTAGTAGCGTAAATAGCTTACTTATGTCAATAGTGACATGGAAATCAATTAAGAATTAATATGAAAATTATAAACTATTTTAAGAGAATAAATATTACAGATATTCAAATCTCTATTTATATATGAAACGTTAAATTACCAATAAATACGTGACTTTAATAATAATCAAATAATTATTTAAAAATCGCGTAAAATTAGTAAAATTAATAAGTTTAAACAATTATAGATATATTCAAGTTATAGATGTATATTTGAAAAGAGAATTAAAAAGTCATCTGCAAGAAATAATCCTTCTTATTAAAATTTAAAATTGGCCATAGGATGACTTAATTACCTACCGTAGATAACAAGTATAAAATGCAAAGAATATTAGGAGTCAAAAATCTTTTTGGAAGATATTAATGACACTATGTTCGAAAGGTGAATGGATCACTTTGATAGGTCAGTGCAAGAACGTAATTGGTATCAATCACGTTGAGATAAGATATCGATTCGCATCGATATTATCGATGACACGTCCAACGTGTGACGAAACGTGTATTAATCTTTTTTTTCTTCTTTTTTATTCGAAACGCCGGCGTTTAACTCTACCCTCGTTACTTTTATCGGTAAATCTTAAAGATCGATCCAGTCTAACGCAACGTGTCGTCGCGATCGTGTCGTCTCTTCCACTTAACACCGTGATATACGTAATTTTAAATCACCGTGCAAAAATTATTCTAATTATATAAATTAGAATATAGATCGGCAGTAAAAAGTAAAAGTAAAATTAATATCAGAAATTAATTTTAATTCGATTTCATTCGCGAGAGAGGAATTTAATCCCTCTGTTAAATTATATTTGATATGAATTTGTAACGGATTGAAATTGAATGATAGATCGAGATTCAATGTCGGATTAGATGCGTAAGGTATGGTGTTCTGAAAATAAAAAAAATATTTAGATACAATTGAAATTTCTTTAATTCGATAAATTAAAATGTATTATAATTTGAATGTTTTATTTTTTTCAATTATTGTATATTCTTGAATTTCTTCCTATGTCTTTTTTTTTATTTTAATAGTAATAAAAAATAGATGAGAAGTAGAATGCAATGGATTGAATTATTCAAATTATAATAAAATATAGATAATACCAATGAAGGATATTTAAGAAGGAAAATGTAATATAATATATTACTCGAAAGAGATAAGTAATAAATATGTAGGAGAAAAATATAGATATGAATGTAGATTAATAGTTAGAAATATTGAACGATCCAGATCAAGTTATTTAATCCTGACAATAAAAAATTGATCCAATCAAAATTAAATCATTTATATCGCATTCAATACTCAGATAAATAGACAACTTTTGAAATGACATTGTTTTAAAAAATACATCATAATTATTATTGAAATATAACCCATATAACAATAACGATAAAAATGATTGAAATAATTAAGAAAAGAAAAATATTCTCTCTGAGGTATTACTATAATTTAAAGGATTATTTCCAAGTTTTTATTAAATTTTATTTAATAATTAAATAACATAACTCAATCAATATTAGTGATATTCAATTATCAATTCTTAATAATAAAATATATTCATTTATTATTATAAAAAAATAAATATTTTCAGATCGGCGGAGGAGCCATGTCACCGGAACTGCAGAACGGATCGCGAGAAATCGACGTAGAACCGGGAGAATCGGATCGCCTGTCGAATACCTGGCTCGAGTGAAAACGGAAGATCGCCGTGCAATAATCGTGGATCGACACGCGTGATCGGTCCAACAGCTTGGAACCTACGGCCTCCCCGCTGGCCTGGCCAGCTACTATGCGAATTGAAGCTCTCAGCACCCTCGTCGCGGTGAGTTCGCCCTTTTTTCTTCTTTTTTCGAACACCATCCATCTTCGATCGACTCCACTTTGATCGATCGATTGGACGTTCGAAAATTGTATATATATATTGATCAACTTTGTGTGATTAATTCGTTCGTGGCGAACTTGTAGAGTAAACGGAAAGGTGACAAAGTAATAATATGACATATGTGATATTTCACTGGGTTTGAACGTGGGTGAAGTTGAAAGAAGGTGGTAACTAGCATGATATTTCATCGATGAATTTGAATATGTTGAGGAATATGAGGGAAATGTGTGTGTGTTTATATATGTACAGGTGTACGTTGTATCTGGTAATTTATTAGGGAATTTGAACGCTTGATGTATGATTCGATGTATGGGATGTAATCTCTTCTATTTTACTTGTGTTTGGGGATAAAATGAAAGGAAAGGTAATAGTGGATACAATAAATCTTTCAGGATTATAAAACTATGATTTTTAATTCACTCGATCATATTTAAAAAAAGTTGATATATATTATCTTTCCTTCGATAAGTAATCGCTCAGAAATTTGCCTGGTATTTCTTTCTCAAAAATTAAAATCTTAAAATTCTTGTGTGATTTAAATTCTAATTTCTTTGGCGAAATAATGTCACGTTTGTTCGCCCAGCAGGTGTTAAAGTAACGTTCTCATAAATACAACTTACCGTGACAATAAGTAATTCTTTCCACGTGTCGTATAACTCGTGTACCAACGCAATGATAACTATCCGCTGATTTAAATCATCGCCTATGAGCATTGTGGGTGTAATTACCGCACGTTTCTCACGTGATAACCGCGAATATGCAAGAAGAGAAATTTCGAATCCTCGATAATTTAACAAATTTTAATAACATAAAATATATACCCTCTTAACTTTTCGATATCTTAGGTTTAGTTTATCGTTTTAATATAATCTTTTTTTCACGTTCGAGTTAATCAAAATGATCGATAATTTCTAGAATAAAAAAATATTTCGATATATCTTTCATTTGTTGAAATTTTTCAATCAATAAATAAAGCAAATTTTTACTTTCGATTATAATTGTAATCGACAATAAATTTTCTAACGTTTTGTCTTGCACATTTATTAAACTTCATTCAACGTTGTTTTTCATTTTCATTCAACAAAAATTATCTTAATCTTAAATGAAAGAGAAAGACAACTAAATAAAGACAACTTTCTTTTCTTTTTATTATTATTATAATAGGATTATAATATTACTACATTACTTATCAGCTTGACACAACAGAGTCAACAAAAACAATAGATACACAAGAT